GTTGATTATTACTGTACTCAGTAGTGATTATAATAATGTACACAAAATAAATTTGTTGAATGGTTATGAAATACAAATAAAAGTCAACTTAGTTTCATCGTAAGCGAATGATTCCGGTCTCGTATAAACGTTTGATGCTGTAGGATATCCGCCATGTTCTCTTAGGTCAAATAGGTCAAATCGCTAATTAACCAATCAAAAAGCTGGATGATGCCAACGTGTTCAAATTACCATAGCTTATTTAAATATGTTAATGTTATTGAACGCAATGCGGAAGAAATTGGTGTTGTAGTACGATATTTTGGCTTGGATTTTGATGCGAAAACGGCATGATTTTTTTTAAATAAAAAAATTAGTTGTTTTTAAAAAATGACGCCAAAATACACCTTAAAAGTCCCATTTTATTTTCTTAAATCCCATTTTATTTTTTAATCCAAGGGCGAATTTACGGCAGAATTTGGTCCCTCAAATAAGGGACACGTGAGCTTTGATTCTAACCGGATACATTGCACTGGGTCGGGGAGATAGTTTGCTAAACTTCCATGCATCTTTTGTCCAATGGGTACCTGTACTTCGAACATTCGCAAGTTTTTCTAGGTAGTGCGAGACAGCTTTGTCTTTTGACCTATTAGTTTTGTGCTGACCTCTTCTCCGCGTCTTGATGTTTTGTTTTGCTTGTCATAATACTCACTGATTGATGACTTTGTTTAGATTTTGAGTTACAACTCGGCCACGACCTTTGCTTTTACCGTGAAACATGAGGAAGTTTACGTCAATTGACGGACATTGCATTTTTTAAAAACTAATGAAGCACACTGTCTATCATCCCCATTTTTTCATTTGCTGATTTCTATTCTGAAAAATTTGACCGTCCGAAAATGCACCTTAATTTTGACTCTAAAAACACGTCACATATCTAACACCAATTATTTAAAACCGGTCGAAATTTTGGAGTTTTTACGGTACTTTAGATATCAGTGTGAAAGCTTAAAATTGGTTAATTATGCAAATTAGGTAATTATTATGTACAGATTTTAACCCACAATTATTCAGGTCCTACAGCATCCATGTACATTCATTGATATGTGATGTATAGTACCTGAGATATCAGTGTGAAAGTTGGTTAATTATGCAAATTAGGTGATTAATATGCACAAATATTTACCGGAAACTAATTGGGTCTGCATAATTCTAGATTCATTGAAATGTGATGATTAGTACTTTAGATATCAGTAGAAAAGCTGAAAATTAATTATGCAAATTAGGTAATTAATATGCACAATTATTTACCCTAAAACTAATCAGGTCTCTGCATAGTCCTAAAGGATCTATGTACCAAGTTTCATTGAAATGCGATGATTAGTACTTGAGATACCCGTGGAAAAGCTGAAAATTAACTAATTATGCAAATTAGGTGATTAATATGCACAAATATTTATCGAAAACAATCAATCTCTGCATAGTCCTTGAGTATGTAAGTACCAAGTTTCATTGAAATGTAATGCTAACTACTTATATCAAATGCTGAAAATTAATTAATTATGCAAATTAGGTAATTAATATGTACTGATATTACCATAAAAACTATCAGGTCTGTGCAGTGTCGTATGACATCTATGTACCAAGTTTCATTGAAATGTGATGATTAGTACTTGAGATATCAGTGGAAAAACCGAAAATTGACTAATCATTATGCAAATTAGGTAATTAGTATCCACGGATTATTACCAAAAA